ATGGATTTTATACCTGAATAATAACTAGTCGGGTTAATTCGTGGGTAAATGACCGGTCCCACATGGCCAACTCCTCCCGTTTATTTCTTGCGCTTCACTTTCACCGTCTCTCTCTCTCTCTCTCTCTCTCTCTCCGCCCGGCGAAAACGATTTCACGGCGAGGGGCGACGGAACATAGGGGGAGGCGAGGACCCAGTTACTCCGCCGCACGCACACGGTGGCGCGGTCGGTCTGCCCACCTCTCTTCGCCGCCGACCAAGGTGCGTCGCTAACCCTTATTCTTGGTTCTGTCTTTAATCTTCTTTTTCTCTCGCATTTGGTCCACTTGTGATTAGATGAATCGGATCTTTAGTAACCCTTATGCAAGAATTGAGCGTTGGATCCGTTTCTCGTCCCATTCTTGATGAAAGATCTCGAGGATATATGGCGGTCCACGAGGGAGAGGGGTTCTTTTGCTGTTGAAATGAATGCTGGGCTTCAAGATCCGGTAATTTGATCTTAGAAACCTTGCGTCGACGGAAGAATCATGTTGTTTTGATTGTACTGCCTTTCCTTCTCATCTTACAGGCATTTATGGGAACGGGGATAAGAATTGGATGTTGCAGATGTGTTCTCTGTAAATTATGGCACCTATTTCCTGACGTATGGGAAAGGGTACTCTCCCCCTTTTCGTTCCCTCATTATCTTTCTTGGTCAGGATTTTCATGCGATCGTGATCTTGACGAGGGTTTGTTCTTTGGTTGCGGGGTTCATATGATCGTGATCTTGATGAGGGTTTGTTCTTTGTTTTTGGGGTTTCAGATATGAACGTAATCCATAACTCTTGGGAGGAGGGACGAGTTTGCCGTTTCGTTTTCCCTCTTCGTTTCGCTACTCTCAATGTGACGTTGCTTTGTGGATGACTAGTGGTATAAGGTATGCCACGATAGCAATTCTTGGGTCGCACACAGATTCGTTTATTAGTTTTCAGTTCTTGAATATTTCTTTTAAATTTTATAATATTAACTTCTGGAGATGAAATCTTTAAGTAATGTGTTTGACTCGTTACTGTTAGCATTCTTGAACCACAAACCTAAAGGATCAATTCGTCCAATCCATAGAAGATGACACCGACGGGAGTGTACATGTTGCATCTTGGAGTCCTACTTTTGACCCACAGATCAAAGTTGTGAATTATGTAAGTTTTATTGACAATTAATTTATGGAGTTAACTTGTACCCTTTGCATATTTTCCTAATATGAAGGACCAAAAATATAGAAACTGTTGTTAAATTTTAATAAATGTTCAATTCCATACTCAAATTTAATTGTAATTTTTTGAGCTTAGTATTTACAAAGACATTTTGTATTTATTTAATTTTTTTGCTACTATTGTCTACGGTCCAATATCAAATATTTGCATTGACTAGCTCAATTAATAGTTAAAACTTCAAGAAGAAGTAAAATATGTTGAAAAATCTATGGCCCAATACAAAGTTGCTTAGGTCTAATACATTGCAACTAAAAAGTGCACAATAATTTCTGAATCTAAAGCAGTATGTCAGCAAGATCGGTCCAGTTTGGATGTTTTGATGCACTGGTCTGGGTCTAGGTTAAGGTTAAGGTATTATAACCTACCAGTGGTTTTTGTTGGGTTCACTTCAGCCCTACGAAACTTAACCTGACATCGAGGCATCAACCCAAGTTTGCCACTTCTATGTTTGTTTGGCATTATCAAATTCTGATGTATTTAGGTTATGTTTCAAAAGTTTTGTCTTAGCCATGTTAGAGTAACAAAAACCACAGCTGAGATATCGAGCGAGCAGAAAACTAGTTAAGTTTTAGCAAATTGTTCCCTTTAACAATAGTGGTATATAAAAGTACTCAGCAAAGCCTAGCGTAAGGTAAATTGTTGAACTTTGAGTTTCATAACCCTTAGAAAACAATTATATAGGGTGAACAGGTGAAATCATAATTAATTCGTGGAACTTCATCAAGAGCCTTGCTTTCTAGTTCATGTCTTAAATCTTTCTATATGCTGATAGAAAATGTTATACAGTGGTGACTTTGGCTGAATTGTTGTGTTAGGAGTTCTGTACATTGTGTATTATTAGTGTGGATGGATTCAGATGTCCAGATTCTCAGATAGTCAGACCAACTGTGATCTGGAACAAAATTTGATACAAATAGCAAGCTGGCACAGAAATCAGTAAATAATATATTTGTTTCTCATCAGGAGTTTTATTGTATAATAAGGTAAATCATTTTTGCTTAGTTCTGTGATACTTTATTTTTTGATGTTTTGTAGTTCTATTTCTTTGATGAACACTTTGACATGGGGTTGCATAAAATACAAGCAAGTGAATAATGATTTTGCCACAGTTATTTGGATTTATTTTAGTAGTCATTTGATAATTGACATCGCTTGATATATAGCATATTGAGATGATCTGTAGACCTTTAATTATTGACTAATTGTTTGATATATTGCAAATTGATAATGATATGTAAATATGGTTTGTTAAGTTATCTATGTTTGTTACAAATTTTTCTTCTATATCTGAGTTTGAGAGAATAATTTATCAAATTGATTATGAAAATAAGAAATATGCTTAACCTAGTGCTTGTTTGTCCACGGTGCAACATTAATATTTGAAACTTTGTAGTGTTTTGGATTAGTGTATTCAGATAAGATTCTTTATGTATGTTGAAGGTTGATCACAAAATAATATTTTCATGTGGCTTGACTTTTGCACAGGAACATATACATTTGACACTGTCATCACTGAGGTAGCCTTCCAATTAGACAATTCACTCGAGTACAAGGTTATATAATGTCATCTCTATTATCCTAAGTTTACATCAGTAGAATTAGTTATCTTGTCTGAACCTAATTAGGTTGACAACAGTACTTAAAAAATCTTTTTTTCATCTGAAGATAATATATATAGTGAAAGATATTAAACAAGAATGAAAAAATGAAGACAACATGAAATGCTTGAGCAATTTAGCCAGAAGGATTATTCTTAGAAAGATGTAACAGGCAAAATCACCTCCTTTCCTCATTAACCAACACTCAATATCAGGTTGGATGTTTTATGCGTAACGCAAAACTCTTTATAAGAGACTAAACTAGCAACAAATAGATGAATGAAACTTTTCCTTCTTAAGTTGGCTTCACACATCTTTGAGTCTCTTAAGACTTTTCTAGATAGCTTCTAGGTAATATCAAGTAGGGGCCTTATATGTCCTACAGTTTTTCACTAAAAAAATAAAAAATAATCTTGCTGCTTATGGAAATATTATATTAATGTAATTGGTTAATCTTTGAGCTTCTGCCAAATATGACTTTATGATGGTATTCTTAGTAACTTGCAATATTTTTCCAGCCCTTTTAAGTGGAAACTCATTAGAATTATGCATAATTATACTTTCTACTAGATATTCCACTGAGCTAATAGGAAAATTTAGATGGTTAGAAATGAAAGATGGATCTGGAACGAAAAATAGATCTGGATCTTGACTTTGATAGCGCACTGGTTACTGATTTTTCCTCCAGATTTAAACTATTTGTACCACTTTCTGAATAAGAAAAGTTATGGTCAACTTTTTAAGACCCATGGAACTGGCATGTGTCAATTGGTATTTATCGCTTTGCCAAGGACCATTATTGAACAAGGTTTTAATGATCAATCTGACTGGTACATGCTGATCGCTTTTTATTAGTCCAACCAATGACTGGTTCTGAAATCTGAACCATATGGCCCATCTTGTATGTTCATATATATTCTATTATTTTTCTCTACATGCTTAATTAAATTTTCTTAATTCCATTCTTGAAGTTCAAGGTTTGTCTCTGGGCAATGACTCATAAAATTAAGGGGGTAGTTTTGAGGACAATACTTAGTAGATATTATTGAACTGGACAGGGTGGAATGCAATATCATTCCCAACAATAGAGGTTTTACTTTCTAATAATAGTGAATAATGATGTTTCAGATTTTATATTCATCTACTCAACATGTTTCAGGCTGGTAATATCTTCTATCAAAAATCTTGGCCCATTTGGCTAGAACAAAATGGAGGGAGATATAACAATAACATTTTTCTGATAAAAAAAAATATATATAGAAAGCTATCGTTCTTGTTGTCGTTTTAAGCCTAATGCTTCATGAAAATGACACCTCCTTTACTGCATTATCACATGATGTGATATTATTCGTCTCCTTTACGTGAATCTATCATAATAGATTAAAGAATATCTAGTTAGAAATTTAGAGATCTAAGAATAACTTATTTTTCTATGAAAAATAGAGTGCTTTTTCTTTCACATGGCCTTAGTCTCTCTGACACTTTCATTCCTTTGATTTTTCAATTTTTCACATGTACCTTTGCAATTGTTTTTCTTGACTAGTTCCCTTTTTTGTTGTCAATTGATTGTTGCATGTATTTGCAAACACATTTTTTTGCTGATGATAGTATAGGCATATCATTTTCAATAAATTTTTTGGCTATATCCAAGGAAATTGATATTTCTGCTTGCAGACCATACTATTTTGTTATTTGTTCACTTGATTGGGATGTTCATAGCAAAAAATACTTTGGATGTAATTGAGATAATAGTTTGTTGTAGTTCACGTAAGAGATTTATTGCACTTCCTTATGCCAATAGACTAAAATTTTTTTGTTAAGATTACTTCTCGAGGTAAGGGATAGAATCACGTATCTGGTGATCCTTTCGCAAAGCATGCTTGTTCTATGAGTAGTTACTATTTCAACAATTTATGAAGCATAATAAATATAACCAACAAGGCGTTTTATTTCTTTATATTTGATTTTTATGACACCTGTATTCACAAATCAATATTTTGATAACCTTGCTTATTCGTATGTTTGGTTGCTATGATTTAGATTGTTATTGCATTGAGTGTGTTGTCCTATATTTTTTAGAGCATCACATTTAGTCAAAAGACTGTTTACGTATAATTTTTTAAAATGAGCAACATTCCTCGTGGTTATCCGTGGCACTGACAAATTTTTTGACATGAGTAATATTCTTGAACATGGTGATGGATCAGATTTGTTGTAGAAAAAAACATTTTAATTCAGCCTGGTATAATTGTAGAAAAAACAATACTTTATGTTGTTACAGCCTGGTATACCGCGCTTCGTATAACCAATCTAAATCTTGTCATCAATCTTTAATCTTCTAAATATTTGTTTGGACGATGGTACGTACCATCTAGCTCTTCTCTTCAGTGGTACCACCTGAAATGACGATGGTAATGTCAGTACTTTCGAGTTTCCTTTATCGTTTCTCATGTTGGTAACAAGAGAAACGATTTGATAAAGAGGTAAAAGGGTCTTAAACTTAATTCATTGAACAAAGATCATTAGAGAAAGTTGATAGTGGTAGAGAGGTGGAGGATAGTGGGAGTTCTCTCTCTCCTTCCCGCCTCCCTCTTCCTCCGCCTTTTCTCACCCCTTCTGTGTTCTTTTCTCCTCCCGTGTACATAGTAATTATGACCTAATCAATAAAGAAAATACGTCAACCTATATATGTCATCATTCATACCTACACTAATATAAGCTCGCAAGTGCTCATTTTATAATCATGAAAAATCAAATATAAAAAGAAACAATGAATCTATCCACTCACATAATAAACCTCTCATCCTATGATTTTTTTAACAAGCATAATCTTATAATTAACATATGTAAAATCAAAAGATAAAATTTTATGTTAAAATAATATAAAAAATATATATATATTATAGTAAATTTATGAACTTTTACTCATCTATAAATGCACTCATCATATATAAACCATTGTACAAATATATACCGTACTTTATATATTTTTATCATAATTTAAATATATTCATGACAATTATATCATTTGAAATATTTTTTAAATATATTATAAATATGATAATTTATATGATCATTGTTTAGTGAATAAATTTATACTTAGCCAATTTACTCAAAATAAAAATGATAGTGAAAGGGCAGATCGAGTATGTTAGGAAACTTAATTAAGATTTTTTTATTTATCATTGATTCTTATCATTGATTCTTATGAAGAATAATAAAAATACTCAATTAACATTTTGTAAAAAACCAATAATAATATTTATGAAAAGCATATATTTCAACTTTAAAAGTCAAAAACACACATATCATTTATCATATATATGAAACATAAACATCACAAATTATATCAATAAATGATATATATATATATATATATATATATATATATATATGTATGTATATATATATATATATATATATATATATATATATATATATATATATATATGTATGTATATATATATATATATATGTATATTTTTATTAACACATTAGTTATAATTTAATATGCGTGAGACTCCGGCATTACACCCTTTTCTCCTTATTCTCCTTGTCCAAAACACACATATAACCTTCCTCTCCCCTCCCCCTCTTATCATGTGTCCAGAACACACATATCATTTCTTTTGCCTTCCTCGTCTCCCCCATCAACCTCCCTTTGCCTTTCCCTTCGACTCCACCTTCCTTTACTTTGCCTTCTCTCACCAGCTCAACCTTGCTCTACTTTCGCCTTCCTCTCCCACCTCGGCCTCTCACTGTCTTCCTTCTCTTCTCTCTCTCACTTGCTTCTCACCCTTCAACCTTATACTATTTTGCCTTGGTAGCTCCCTCAGCTTTTCCTTCCCCTCTGTTTCCTCGCTCTCCTATTTATACCTGTGTAAATGATTACTGAAAAAAACAAGATTATACCATAAAATAAATAAAATGTACGTACATCAGTTCTAATATAACTAACTAATATAAGCTAACTACTAAGATGTTCGTGAGTTTAATTTATATTCCATACTTTTTGCACATGAGAACTTGGTTAGTGGATAACTCATGAAGCAATTCCAACATATGCTCCAATTCAAGATGGGGAAGACAAAAGACAGGCAACCCTCACCTATTAGCAAGTAGAACAAAAGAGTGAAAGGTATGGACAACCCTCACATATGTACCCCCTTAACAAGGGGGTGGCACCTAGGCTGCCAAAAGCAGAGTAAAAAGTGAATCATGAGCAATGGATAGACAGATATCAGTTTGGTAAGCTTAATATCTGTCAGTGATTATAAGCCTAAAAAAGCATGTTTAGCTACTTGATGCTTTATTTCTAGCATTATTACTATTTTTAATAGTCAGAGGATCTTCACTTCCTAGAAGAAAACTCTATTTAGCTATTGAAGTTGTTATTGAATTTAAATCCACAGTCCAATCAATAAATTAACAATGTAATTGAGAATTACTTGTCGTATAACAATTAACAAAACCAACTTAAGATAGTTATAACAATTATCAGATAGCATGATAATTGTTATAACTATCATATAACATGATAGTTCAGTCTATAATGTCTTCAAAAACCAAGATTTCTAACCCTTCCAAGCTTTACAACCATAACCAACTACAATTTTTTAGACCCAGTAAATTAAGTTTCATTATCAAAGAAGTTTAGTTCACAATTCAGTTTATATTGTATTTGAAAGCCAAGACTCAAACCAGCAACAATCTTGCAGATCCATCATCGTGGAAATGGCGTCATACTCGATCAGCATGATCATTAAAAAAAAAATGGTAAAACGCACGCTCTTTTGCAAAGAAACTTTGAACTCATTACATACACAAACAAAGCCTGAGCAGGAAAGGGATGCAATAGAACTTTAATGTTGTTGAGAACTAGTCACCTGGAACCATAAATAAGGTCTACTATCGTTGAAACGTTGAATACAAAAACTATACAAAGTTCAATTACCTGGTAAACCCATAAATTAAAGATCCACTATTGTGATTCGTAATTATTGAATCAGGTGTTAGTTTCAAACTTGAGGAAATAAATATATATATTTCTAATAGCTCAGATGCTAAATTAAACATGCAAAGCAACATAACCAATGACCAAGACACTTACCGTATATGTGTGCTTTGCAGCTCAAGTCTTTGGTTTCACAACCTCCCAATTTGCTACGACCAGGACTGTCTGACTAAGTTACATCCATTGATCTGTACAGTAGAGAATAAGCTGTTAAATAAAGTTGATGAGATTATGTCCACTATCTTTTGCTATAGAAGACACTACTACCAAACAAAAAAGATGAACATACAACTAGAAGATACACCAATTCTCTTAAGCACAAAAAAAAAAAGGAAGATGAATGTCAAAATGTAAGAGTTTGCATATATCAAATGTAACATGCACCGGTGTTATCCTGGTGCATGGATATAATTCAAATGCATGTTGGTGCTGAACACATGAGACTTCAATTACACAATCAAACCGTTTAAGTGTCTGCAAGTATAATATCTTTAAAGGAACAAGCCAGATAAAAACTTTAATGAACATGTGAAGTTGAAGAAAGATGTTAGGAAATCAAGAATAGTGCTTTAGTTTGCATGAGAAAGAATCTAAAAATGATTTATAGATGAAAGTGACTTGGGAAGCACAACCTGGCATTAAGCAGTTAGTGTTCCTTTGTGAGTGTTGTTCCCTTGCCACAACCCAAAACCAAAAACAGCTAATGCAAAACCACGGCTACGTTCTTTTTCAAAGAGAAAAGAAGAAAAAAGAAGAACGCAAAAGCAGAATAGGTATTCCCTACTTTGCCAACCGAGAATCTCAATCCAGTGTAACCACGTTTCGTTGAAATAATATAGAAAATATGTACGTAAACCCAAGAACCAAGAAACAATACCATACTCCCAACACGATGATCCATTTCTTACACCAGTTCCAGAAAGATAAAAGAAGACGAAAAGAAGATGGTATCCACAACATAAACCTTTGTTGATGTCACATTTCACTCAAACCACGAACCCAGAAGAAACACAATCACCCGAACGTCACCAAGATCTGCTTCCCCCAGCGAATCTTTAAACCACGGGAAATTTCTTGAAATCGGCACATTCAAGAACCAAGAATCCTTGGCGAAATCACCAGAATCACAAGAAACGCCAATATACAAGCGATCGAGAGGAGATGGAGAAGACAAGAGCCATATAACTAAAGAATATTTTACAAAGCAGAGTCACATACTACTCTTCTTTGGTTTTGTCCTTCTTTGATGTAACTCTAGCTACAGTCTCAAGAACTGCCCAATAAAGAAAAGCAGAAAAAATAACTCAAGCTATGTAATTATCCACCTCAAGTTCTCAGAATATACATTGCTAATGTCAATTCCTCAAAAGAGATATCTATGTAATGGTAATTAACATTCAAGCCAATGGTAATGGTATATATATATATATATATATACCGAGCGGTATAACAAAATATATCGCTCGGTATATAGTATCGTACTGTACCGAACAAATTTCGAAACTTCGGTATGATACGATATTTCAATCCTTGTTACGTTATATAGTTTGTATCAAAAGAAAATCTCAACTCATCCAGATAAATTCATCTGGCAACAACTACAAAGACTTAACATCAATAAAAGTTGATTATGCAAGACGTATTTGAGCCATCGTCTTGAAAAAATTGCAACCAACTAAGACAGCAAGAAACAGCTTCTTGCATGCAACTGAAATAAAAAAGTTATATGCAAGACGAGAAATGTAATCAAAATATCAAACTCATCTAGCATCAAATTACTAATGTTTGCACAAGTTATACCTTTTTCTCGGCAACACTGTTGTTGAAGCCACCAGGGTCCGTTTCTGGAGAAGAAATAAAATGGTTAGATTGATTTTCTTACACAAGTATAAAAATCCAGTTGTAGTCAAAATAAAGTCTAAATATGGTGTACATCTGCCTAATAGCATTGCAGATAAATCTGGTGGTCGGAACGTGAAGGATCAGAAAACAAGTGAATGATCTGTTGGAGGTGGCATAATCTTTTAAGTACAAAACATAATACATCAACCGACATAGCATAACCAGGCTAGACACGCTTAAATGTGAACAACCTTCCGGGGAGTCGGGATAAATTTGAACTTCAGATCTCACAAATGGACCAATCTATGGACTTGTTGCAAAGCAGCCCTAACAGACGGCCGTATGATTCCCATTCTCTGAGTCTCCACAGGTCTAAGTCCCTTGTGCAATTTCAGCATCCAAGAAAGTGAAAAAGCAACAGGTTTCACGATTTAACTTGGGCAAGGAAAAAAAGAACACCATGATTGATGAAGCAAAAGGTTTAATTCTTTTACTAGGGAAAGAAACCAGCAGGGATCCCAAACACCCACTTCGTTCATGAACTCTGCGATTCCTACTGGTGGTTGCGGATATTGGTTCTTGATTTCGGTGCTGAGTTCATGAAAGCACCGCAATCAAGAGACAAGATCCGCGACCACGAACGAAAGAAGCATCGATCCAACCTTCAAGAACCCTAATCAGCTTCCTCCCGTATCACATTTGCAAGCACGCATCAAGGAACCGACCATAGGAACAAAGAACAAAAAGAGTAAAGGAGCTCAGATTCGTACGAACCCCCGCCACTCTGCTCGCTCTCTGGGAACTCCTTCTGGAGCACGCGGTCGATCGTGTCGGCGAAGGTGCCCTCCTTAGCCGATCCCTTGCGCGACTCCGTCGCGTTGGCCGCCTCCGAGTCCCCGGCCTCAGCAAAGTAGGCGAGCCCGAAGAAGACGGCGACGAACAAGAACGAAAAGAGGAGCGATCCGGTGCCGAGGAGGAGGGGGAAGCGGCGGATCGGCTTTCACCGCGATCCCCGCAAACTAATACAAAGCGGAAGCGGAAGCGAGGGAGAAGAGAGAGACGGGCGACGTCCGATAACCAGATGGAGGGGATCCGTTTCGTTTCCCGTGACATGGGCGGGAACACCGGAAAGCGGAGCATTATGAGGGTGGGTAAAGCATTGGACGACCGGGCGCACGATTACACCTTGGATCGGACGGTTGTGTTTGCCCGATGGAACGTGATGGTCGGTCCTGGACTGCCTGATGAGAGATCGCAGCCGACGCTTTCAAATTGGAAGTCTTTATTTAAGACCTGAAACTAATTGGGAAGCACAACCAAGCATTGAGCAGTTAGCGTCTATTACAATACCTGTATTACTAAGCCCTCCGATGCATTCTTTTACACCAGACAAAGAAACGAGAAAACAGAAGACTTATCCTCTACTTCACCATCGAGAATTCGAACAAACATAGAATGTCTCAATTTATATCGCCTTCCAACCTCTCTCTCTATTTATATTCCCTCGGAGCAAAACCAAGAACCAAAACCTTCCTACCCAAGAACAAGCATCGAGACCCTACTTCCCGATATCACGATGATTCGTTTCTTCCATCGGTACCAGAAACATAAAAGAAAAAGAAGAAAAGAACATGACATCCACAACATACGATGTCATGTTCGACTGAAACCATGAACCCAGAAGCGAAAACCCTCTACTTAGCGTCCCCAAAAGAAACAAACCGCAAACATTTCTTGAAATTAGCAGGCTCAAGTACCAAGAATCCTTGGCGAAATCCTAAAGCGAAGAAACAACGAAACGTAGAAGACTAGAATCACAAGAAACGCTAAGAATCCAAGCGATCGGCAGAGAGGGTAGGGTGGAGAAGGAGATAGGCAAACCGGAAAGAGAACAAGGGCGAAGGGAGGTCGTGGTTGGCGAACCAACGACAGATCAGCCGGATCGGAACCTACCACCGTAGGTAGTCCTCGTCCTCCATCGTCAGCAGTCGCGATGCCACTTTCTTCCTCCACCCTCCGCTCGGCTCATCTTTCCCGCCCCTCCACCTGAGGAATTGCTTTGTCTTTGAATTGGGGAAGGCGGTGCTCACCCATTTGTAAGGCAAGAGACACAAGTCACATGTGCCTTCCGCTAAAATCCTACACATTGTAACGTCCGAACCGATATTTACTATGACATGTAAAATAAAAACCTGTTTTGTAAGCGCGTTATTCTAATATTTGCGATCATATTCAAATCAAGAATTGAATTTATGTGATCTTAAAGTGTATATATATATATATATATATATATATCATTTTTTCCTCCGAGTACGTTTATGAACTCAATAGATACAGCAAATACACATCATAAGTTTGTGCCTTTGGTCGGAGCCGGTCGGACAATAATCCATTACTGATAAAAAAATAAACATTACACCTCCTCGCTCTTTTTTCGGTCATATCAACGACCACTTTGCTCTGCACTACTCACACTCTCCATCTCATCCTCCGATTCCACCACTGCTTTTTTTTTGTCCGTTCCTTTTACAAAAGAAACCAATAACATGAACTGATGCAAGGATGCTTCAACGTCATCTCACGTAAGCTTTCATTTGTTCTCTCGCGCAGTCCTTTCTTCGCCCGACACGGCAACTTGACATTATGCTAAATATTCATTCGTGTGAACATAATAAATCCATATTACTAAATATTTGAAGAATTATTTATTTTTTTAATATGATATCAAAGCTCGATGAATAAATAAAATTCGGAAATATCAAATTTAAATTTGATTATGCGAATATGAGATACACCTTTGTGCTGACTCCCATCCTTCCACAGTCTTCTTCTCAATAATTCATATAAAAAAAGGAAAAAAAATCACAAACTCGGTAAAATTGTGAACATAGCGTGATTAATAGTTGCACTTCACCCCTTTAATTGCACCCCTTCCCTTCCCTTCCCATCGGGTTTATCGTCTACTCACCGTTCTACCCTCCGTGAGATTGGTCGCACGAGGTTTCTATCAACCACAGGGCGGTTAGGCAAGCGAGTAACAAGTTAAATGCATTCATAGACGGTCGCCATATCGAGCGGGGCAAATGGAGATAATATTACAATATTGACCTCGGCGGCCTATGGGGCGAGTCAGGCGCCGGCCTCTCGAAGGCGCGGCACGAGGCGGCCGCCGAGGTGGAGCGCCACGAGCCCCTCGAAGCCGCCGACGGCCGCGCCGCCGATGAAGAGCGCGGGCAGAGCCGCTGGCCCCGCCTCCCCGTCCTCCAGCACGATCACCGTCGCGTGCGTCCCCACCACCGCCAGCAGCCTTAGGATCACGTCACACGTGTAGCATCCCCGCCGGCTGAACACCACCACCGGGCTCTCCCTTATCATCCGCTCCATCCTCCTCTCCGGCGCCTCGTCCCCATCGATCGTTAGCGCCCCCTGCATCGAGCTCGCTGATACTTGATGAAGAGGGACGAGAAGTTGCGTTTATATCATCAGAGACAAGGCAGGCAAAATTATATGAGGCGGAGGCGACGGTGGCGTCGGGGTCACATGGGAGGTGACATCACACGAGGGTGACGGGATAGGGGGTGGGGGAAACGGATGGCGTCACTGACCCCACCACGCGCCACAGATGTTCTTTGGTACAAGGGGAGGGGCATCGCTGACGTCACTGTCCCCCGCCCCGAAACGCGCCATGCAACGAGCTACACGTGCGCGTGGCTTTTAACGTCAGCCACGAAGGTGGATATGGGTCCATTGTAGCGTTGCTCTCACCACAAGGCAGGTAGAGGGGACGGGTGCGGAGACTAACGGGGCAACCCACAAAGGAGGACGAAAGGAAGGAATGGATTCGTGCCGAATTGTTACTTTCTTCGTCAAATCTCCACTATTAACAATGACTTCGGGGGGGTGATAAGGCGGGGGCGAAACGAGATTGGCTCCTTTCTTACTTACCGTGGTTCAAACGGATGACGTATGTATTCTTGCATTAGTGGATGCGGGTAAAGACTTCATAAAGTAGTGTCTGCCATGAACTCCCCAAACACCGCTGCAGAACCCCAACCCATCCCTCCCCGTTGGAAAACACAATCTAAAATCGTATTGTCCAATTAAAAGGACACGCGTGGCTCTACTTACGCAAAATTACATATGTGTGTATATATTAAGATTGAAGACGATAATCCACTAAATTTTAATTTTGCCAAACATTCTAGCCTCTTATAAATTATTCTACTTACTCTTAGTATTATTAAGATCGATAAATATTTTGATGACAAAGAAAGAGAAGGATTTTTCGTGAAAGATGAAAATTTTAAATTTTAGATTCGATTTTTTTATAAATATTTTATATATTCTATGATTTTTAAATAGTAAGATGTAAGAAATATTTTATCTATTATTGGGTTTTTCACTATGGAATCTAAAAGGATACTTTAAGATTCTATAGAAGGTAAAGAAAAAAAATATATAAATTCTTAGTATACAAAAAAAATTTGACTCGCTGAAAATAATTTAAGAATCTTATAATTAATCTTGAATTTTATTTTCTCCATGAATTTATTGAACCATATTAATCTTTTATGATTTTTTTTATCTTTTCTTCATTTATTAATCTTAGGGAGCTTGAAGTAAAAATATATTCTTTTTAGAAGATATAGAAATAAATAAAATACACATGAAAGATTATTAAGATTAGCAACAATCTTAATAATGCTATTTATAGTAGTAGAAATGCAACAATTTGATGTCAGGAAACCATAGTTTGATGCGAATAATTTGGGTGTATGGTTCTATAAGTATCAAAGGAATCTCAATTTGACGCCAAGAAACGTCAAGCACTCCACCTTTTTAATCCTCAAATAATGTTGATATTTGTAGCAGAAATGACATTGAAGTGTAGTCCCACCTCTGTCCTCGACTTGATTGACCTAAACAGCATGGTTAAAGTATGCGTGGCAATTCATTAAAGTTATCTGCAAATTAATTTCACCTCAATCTTTACCATTTTCGTTGCAAATACTGTATACAAATCTTTAAGCGCTCAGCGACAATCAGCATTTAATATAATTGCAGACCGCCAACAAGCAGCGACATCTTTTAAACGGGTGACTCATAATGACTTGAAATGACAAAGGTACTGCCGTCGGAGAGAAAGGAAGCACACAAGAAAACAGCTGATGCAGTCCCTTGACTGACAAAACAGTGGAAACAGGCACTTGCAGCAAAGTCCGAACTAGTTTCTGGAGGCATAATTAATCATTGCGGATTCCAGGAGAATCCTCAGCCAAAAAAGCATTGCTGCAGATTGCATTTACGAACATAGAGAACACAACAGCTACACACCAAAACAATAAATCCCAGAATGATCAGCTTTCTCAGTAACCGAAGGAGAAACAAAAAGAATAGTGAAGCAAACGAAGAGGACATCGATATTTGATCTGGTGAAGAACATCTAATGATTTCATCGACGCTTTCTAACCATGCGCTGCATGCCCAACACATTTACAAAAGCACGTAAAAGTGATACACGAGCATGGAGCTGCTCCACCATGCCCTTCACCTCCTCCTACATAGAGGGCCCTGCTACGGACGTTCGCAAGACCCGTCTCCCCGCTGCTTCGGCGAGGACGGCCGGCCAATAGCATGCGCTCTCTTTCTCAACCGTCCAATCCCATCTTCTTCTCATCTCAACCGTCCATCCCGGTCGAGTACTAAATCGTTCGGCGAGGCCGAGCCGTCCATCTAGTGGAAATCCTACCGTGGGGCCCACCGTCCATATCCTGGTGAGACGGTGTGCTGACGCGTGGAATCCGGTGGAGTTCCCGGAATCGTGCGGCAAATTCGCCCATATCCTTGTAGACGGCGAGTCGTCCCGTCTGCAATCACCGCCGTCGATCAGATCACCTTGACGGAATCGTGCGGCACGGGCTCGCGCGCTCTCCCTGCAATGAGACCGCCCCGGACATTCTCAGACCGGCGAAAGCGACGAGGCGTACCATAAGATTTGGTTGGACCGTCCTAGCCTCACACGTGTCCTGCCAAACTCCCACTCTCCGGATGTCTCCATCGCATGGCCCACAGCATGGGAACAAATGGCGATAGCCACCGCATCATCGTCACAAATTGATGCGATGGGCTCCGTGGTTTGACAAGGACGGTTAACTCGGACTCGGATGCTGTGCTGGGCGCATTGTTCCGAGTTCGCCCACCGACGCAATCGAAATCCAATCCATCACATATGTTACTTGGTGAGTTCAACGGATGAAAACTTTGATTCTAATTTGTACTTCGTATCGAGAGCACTCGTCGACAGGCCGCAACCTAAAGGGACTACGTGATTGAATGCGATCATAAAAGGGGCCAACGAAGAGCGGAAAACTCCTCAACCTCATCGACTGACGAGCAGAAGATTTCTTTCCCCCTCCTTTAACGTGGTCCGAGTCAACCAATCTGCCACCATGCTTGTCGACATCACGTATTAGCGCAACTAATTCTGACCTTTCGAGAGTCAACGGCGTACTGGGGCAAGGTCTTTCACCGACGTTGGCTTCAGTCAACCTCTAATTCTCCGTCGTCTGTACGGGGCCGAGCTGTTCCTCCCTACCAAAATAGTGGAAACCGATGACATCGACAGGACCGGAGAACCTCGTCGACAAGCAACTCCAGAGAGAGCCCCTTCGCCGCGTGGTCTGACAAGCTGTCTTGGTCATTCGTTGGAACGGACCGTTTCGTGCCTCAGACGGGGAGACCACCAGCCGCACGTTTAATGCTACCTCGAGTGATGTCTGCGTTGAAAATGAATGAGGCGTACGCGAAGAGTCGTTCCAGCATTCTATTCGAGTGCATGGCTGACGCTGGATTTATGTTACAGAATGTAACTCCGTATTCATCCCCTAATTCCCGTACTCTAAATTGGTCCTCAAGATAATATTACAATCCCTCTTATTCCCTCGTCAAAGTTGGTCAAACCTGATGTGATCGGACCAACTCAGAGTTAATTGGCATCTTTAGGCTCTACCAACGTCCATCGGAAGCGGTTGGTACGGTGTACCTGGGGGCAAATGAGTCATTTAGGTATTCACTGGTAGAGACGCGGCGGGTCCGTGTTAATCTAAATATGTCTCTTCTCAACAGCACAGGGATTTCACGAACTACGTTTGACTTCCTCAAATTATGACATCACATTGCATTGACAACCAAACCCCAAGGAGCCCTCTCTAACTGTGAAGTTTGACCCTTTCCTCGTCTCCCTCCCTCCGCGTTCCCTTTCTGCATCAAAATCCTGGTTGCTCCCAACATTTCCCACCAAGAAACCTACCTCCGAGGACCCACCCCAGGCCCCCCTCCCCCTGCAGTCCACTGCATTTTCTGCAAGAATTCACCATTTGGCTTTCCCTCCAAGAATTTACCGTTCGAGGCTTTGAAGTCCGTCTTGTCCATTGCCTTCGTATTTTTCTGGGCGACTCGTTTCGTCCTGCCTGACGACATCGACATGCCCATCCACGACAGCAAATAGGAATCGGTCAGCCGCCGGGTGGTTGTTCGCTTCCGGTTGCTTTGGCTTCTTGTCGCCCCTCTTGATCGAGCGCTTCTTCTCCTCGTTTCCAGGGTTGCTCGCATTCTCTTCCCGGATTCAGAGGTAACATGGAAGAAACATTTTCTCACGCTAAAAGTTCGATTTTTAGGTCTTCCTGTTATCCAATTTTGTTACTATCGGTTGTGTCATTGGTGTTTCTAATCCCGTGTGCTACGGGTTGTTTATGGTGCATTGATTTGATTCTGCTGTAATTTGATTTCCGGTGCGTTGCAAATGATAAACATTGTTAGGTCGATCGAGTTACCGCTGTAATTTCAATTGCCTCTTTTTCTGGAGGATACAGCACTCTGAAGAAGATAGAACAAGCTTTCTTTTTGCGATTGATGGAAACGCAATTGCACTAAATTAATCTCAATTCGGACGAGACCTTCGTTTCTATTGTTTTCATCAGGACCATACTTTTGTTGCTCACACCCCCTTTTCCGCGCCGTGCATTTCAGCATTTAGAGAACGATTTGAAATTTGTTTTACCTGCATCCGAGAAGTATGTTGTCATGTTTCTATCAATGCATTCACCTCAATCAATCAACATTCGACCATGGAAATCAATTACTTCGTTGCAGCTGACACCTGTGCATTTTGGCTATGTATGGCAGGAGACAATTTTTGCAATTTCTAAATCGAAGAGTTGAAGTTACCTTGATGGGCATATTTGTTTCGTTGCTCTGGTTCACCTGGATCGAACTCATGAGAAGCAAGATTTTTGATTTGGCAGAGGAGGTTGAGAATGTTAGATCGTTGAGTTCGATGGAGAAGGATGTCAAGCGGATCCCAGGATCAAACAGCTGCAAACAAAATGAGTCAGAGACCAGCACTAAATCGAGTTCTTCCTTGAAAGAATCATTAAGCTTCAAAAATTGGTGCCAGGACCAAACCAAGCTGGAAACTCATGTTTCACCCAAGAATCAGCATAGGGAAGATGTTAAAAGGGAACCTTATTCTGCAGATCAGATTGGCAATGATGCAGATCTCAAGTTGAACCCAGAAAATTGTCTCTTGGAGTCCCTAAAGCTTATAAAAGACCTCGATGCAGCGGCTGTCAAGTTGCAAAAGGTGTACAAAAGTTATCGGACACGAAGAAATTTGGCAGATTGTGCAGTTGTTGTTGAGGAATTATGGTTAGTTTGTATAAAAAGGCTTCTGTTGGTATTGGTGGTACCAATTCATTAGGTTTTCTCTGATCATCTTTTGTGTGTTGTCTTTTGGTTTCAGGTGGAAGGCATTCGATTTTGCCTCGCTCAAGCACAGCTCAATATCTTTTTTCGGTGGTACAAAGCCAGAGACAGCAGCGTCACGCTGGGCAAGGGCACTAACGAGGGCAGCCAAGGTAGTCCGATCACCAGTGTTTTGTTTTTATAGTTCTGATATGCAGATGCACCATAGTATCACTCTCGAGCTTCTTCCCGAATGGAATTATGTGATCCATTTTTTCTATCTTTTTGTAGGTTGGTAAGGGTTTGTCCAAGAATAACAAGGCACAAAAGCTGGCACTTCAACACTGGCTTGAAGCTGTATGTTAATTTTCTTTACTTACCTGCTGTGAATGATTCTATTAAACATATAGGGGGGGGAAGGTCGAGACAATTTTTACAAAATTAAATTTTTTTTTGTGAAATAAATGCGATCCAAATCCAGTACTTACTCGGTGATAGTCAAATCCCTAGAAGGACATCTAGTGGGACAAACTCTTGTGGTGCAAATGAATTATCTAGCCATGATAGTGCAATGAATAACCGGTATTGTCTTCGCTTTCAGATCGACCCGCGCCATCGATACGGGCACAATCTGCATCTTTATTATGACGAATGGTTCATAAGCGAGAGCAAGCAACCGTTTTTCTACTGGTAACTATGTTCGCTTACATCGATACATCTTCATTTTTCTCTTCTTATTAGATTAGTCTCAGCTTAATTTGGTCCTGATCTTCTTTTCGGGTGGAAAATTCAGGTTGGACATTGGTGATGGCAAAGAAGTGAATCTTGCAAAGTGTCCTAGAAACAAACTTCACCAGGAATGCGTTAACTATCTCGGACCGGTACGTCGCTCGCTGATTAAATGACCTTAGATCGTCGAATTTGAAACTCTGAACCTTCATCAATTCATATCTATGTCATTTTTGTTCAGAAAGAAAGGCAGGCTTATGAGGTCAATTTGGAGTCTGGAAAATTTGTATACAAGCAAAGCGGAACGTTTGTGGACACTACCGAAGGGTCGAAATGGATATTTGTTCTCAGCACAATCAGCACATTGTACGTGGGGCAGGTAAATTTCACATCCCTGGTTTTGAATTTTTTTTAATATAATTTATGAAACACATAAACTTCTATTCTTAACTACAAAAAGTTGCCATGTTTCGCATTAGTTCTTCTGTACCTGTCAGCAGCTATGTTACTACTACTTACCTGGATATATTCTTTAGTTATCATGCTTCGTTTGTTCGGTAGTTTTAAGATCTTCCCTTGCTGTTTGATTCTTTTTCAGACATCTAATTCTCCACTTCCATGTATGAGCAGAAAATGAAGGGGTCATTTCACCACTCGAGTTTTCTTGCTGGTGGAGCTACCATAGCTGCAGGAAGACTGATCGTGAAAGAGGGAATTCTGAAGGTGCTTATTAGCAAAACCTCGATCGTTTAGTTAGCGACAACATGTTTTCTGTTGTCTTATTTCCTGTGGTTCCTTTCCTGTAGGTTGTTTGGCCATATAGTGGACATTACCTCCCGACTGAAGAAAATTTCAAGGAATTCATCAGCTTTCTTCAAGACAACAATGTCGACCTCACTGATGTCCAGGTAATGTTGTCTTTCCTCATCAACTATTTACATAGCAAATGATAGGTGGTGTTTCTAGCCTCAAATGCAATAGAATTTCTTGAAAAGAAAACCTCTTTTAGATGCACTGTTATGCATGACCAAGGGAGATGATTTTAAGAAGGTTCTCTTTAGATTCCTGGTAAAATGAATCCTACAAGATGACTGATGTATTGTCAAATAATCTTCAGAAATGTCCTGCTGGTGACGACGATGACTACTCTTCACTCAAGATGGACAGGAGTAACTCGATGACAGATATGGATAAGGGCACAGAGGTAGCAGAGGAATCTACATCACATGAAGTAGGAAACCAGAGTGAAAATGAGGTAGAAGAGGGCCATCTATGTTCTTCGATACCCGAAGATAGTAATGTCGAGACCACTTCTGGATCGGTCGATCACCACCATCAGAACTGCACAACTGGGGCTGGGCATCGCATTAGGTGTGTTCGCAAGTACCCCACGGATCTTCAGTTTAAGGCACTCGAGCAAGTTAACCTGTCACCAAGCTCCACGGCTCCCCCTGATGAGCCGATCGTATCTCCCCGTCCAAACTCTGATATGAGGCTATCCCCCACGCTCGCTGGAATCAGCCTTCCTGCTCCCACGATCACACTTACTCTTCCTAAACACAGACGCCGCTGATCCATCAGCTTGCCAGTACCATCATCTGCATGCAAAGCTTCGATCGACATGCAACTTGAAAAGAGGAATGGAGGAGAGAAATGCTGGCCAATTAATTCTTTCTCCTTTTCTTTTTCTTTTTTTGGTTTCCTTGTATATTTGTTAACTGATTCGATTCATATCTCCTCTCTTTTCTTTTTTTTTGCTCTCTTTCTTGGTTCCTCTCAAAATGAGGTTAATTTTTGTAAAGAGTCAATTCTTTTGTTTTGCACATTGATAAGGCGATAGAATTAATGTTGTGTAGAATTCTTTTTGAAGAGAATAAACTTCGTCTTTATCTTCCCTTCGAACATTTCTAATTCCTGATGAAAAAGTATGGTAAATCTACTCACCTCAAGTTGTTTTGTATAACAAATTATGAGGTAATATATACAGAGAATAGGAGTTGTGCATGCTCTGTATAAAAGAAACATCATCTTTCTTGCAGCTCTGTTCCACTGGCATTCAAATTGAGGAAGCCCATGCCATTCCAAATTCAATCGAGAATGCAAGTGCTACACTCAAAAACACACATTTGTGTCGGGTCACAGAACATCGTTTGAGTTCCATTTCCATATGATTCTGTCAGGCTGCACCAAGAACAACGTCCGTAGTAACTGTGAGCTCTCCGGTTCATGTTACTGCTACCGGGCGCCTTCGTTTCTTCTCTTCATCACCGGCTGATCGAGATCAAACCTCTCCGGCCTGGACACATCCGGCACCACAACCACTGTCATCGTTGATGTAGTCTTCGTTCAAGAAGCCGAATCCGATACCAAAAGCAGAAGCAGTTGCTCCGACATGAAACTCGACCCCTTTCCTCAATTAGAAGCAACCATATCGATGTGGATACAAGGAAAAGTCAACTATATGTTTATGGATTGCTACGGGTGGCTGTGCTTTCTCTTTTGACTTTTCCTTTTCTAAGATGACCTTAATATAGTATATTTCAGTTTGATGAACCAACCAATTCTCCTACGACCACAAGGAGTGACCAACACCAGGATCCCATCTTCTTTCTCCTCTATCATCCACCAAATTCTACCAGTTTCGTTCGAGAGGAGAACAAAGATGTTGGTTTTTTCTCTGTTCTTTGCCCTCGTGATGATCGTTGTTAACTCGATCCAACACTCGATGATCTGACATCCTGTCACCATCTGTGTGCTTGGAATAGAGAAGAAGCTTCTTCCGCGTCGTTCATTCATAACCAGAATGGGAAGAAGTATACCATTTCCATCGGAAGCCCACACCTTGATCCACTCGGCCCTTTTCATCTCCCTCGTCGTTGCGTGGGTCGCAGCCGCCATGGTCGTCATCGTCTCGCTCTGCGCCGAGCGCAAGCCCCCAAGCGACCCTCCATCTGCATCCCCACCGTCACCACACAACGAATCCGTCGCAAAGCCCGCATCCGAAACCACCACGACACCCACAGTCCAAGCGACGACAGAACAAGGAGAAGGAGAACCGCACCAGGAGGCGCAGGAGGAGCAAGTGACGGTGATCGAGATGACACCCGACGTCGCGACGCATGGCCCAATCCCTCCCAGTACTGTGCTGCCGGCGTCCGCCTCGAAGCGGAAAATGTCGTTAAGCTTCGGCAAGGGGCTCCCGGAGAAGATAAGGACCAGCAGGAGAGAACGGAGCGGGAACGGAGGAGGTGATTCGGAGGACTCGATATGGAAGAAAACAATCATCCTGGGCGAGAAGTGCAAGGTCTCGAGCGACGACGAGGAAGAGGAGGTGGCGGGCGAGAAGGGGAACCGGCAGAAACACTACCACCCGAGGACGCCGCGGTCGCGGCAGACGTCTCGAAACAACTCGTTCGCGTATCCCGACGAGACGCCGTCGTGACCTAGAGCGGAGCAGCAGTTGCCGGTGGCGATCCTTTTGGGAAACGCGACCTCCAGGAATTAATCTGCGACATGTGGCCATGATGATCAAACCGGTGAATTTTCTAAGATTCGTGCTTCCATATATATCTGATATATAAATATATATATATATATATATATACACACATACATATATGTATATGTATATAAATAATATCAGATTTATTATAACATGGCAAGACATGGTTGATTGCTGGTGTAGTATAGTTCCGCAGCCTTTCTTAATGGGGGAATCGTTGGGCTTATAGATTCTGAACTATCATGTTAGAGTTTAATATAGATTATATCAATTCCTAATTGCTTGGGCTTTTGAGAGTTCTTGATCACCCAATTAAGATGTTTATTATGGTATTAAACTAGTTAGTGATTTCGGATCCTATATTAATCCCTCCCTCTATTTCACTTTGTGTTTAATCAGCTTGTTTCTAATTGACTCACATCTTGTGCTTAAGTTAAATAATACCTTCAAATTTTACTATTGGTAAATATGTCACTTCATAAAAGTTTTAATTTTTCATATATATCCCTCTAAATCCCCCACTAATGACATTATTGGACATGACTTCCATGAATTACGATTTTTGCTGATTGTAAAAAAAAATAAAAATTCAAATATCTAAAATAGTTTTTATTATTTCCAATAATTATTTGATTCATCATGTTTTCCTAGTACTTTGGAAGGGGATATTAAAATGCACAATGTCATCACGCTAATGATCAGCGGTTGTAGATTAACTATAGTGATAAGTTTCCGTGCTTTAAAGGGGATATATATTTACTTCAATATATGAGAGAAAATATAAAAAAATATTTATTAAGGACACATACATATATCTATGATTTTTGCCATTTATTCTATTATAACATTTTTAATTCAAACTATGAACCGCTAATCACATTTAGCAATTGTTATATATATATATATATATATATATATATATATATATATATATATATATATATATATATATATATATATATAACGACTCTTTTTCGCGAACCCTACGCCCTTCACGTGGCTGCTACCTCCGCCTCGTCTTCCCCTTTTTATCCGACCGCAGTCTCTCTACCTGCTTGCCTCGACCGCTCGACGCCCTTCTCGTCGTCGGCACAGGCCACCATTTCCGCCGCCGCCGACTGCGCTATGTCAAATGACGTTCCCAATAATCGATGCATTTGCACGGCTTCTCGCTCGAGCCCAGGAGCTGGGCGGTTCAGGCGTGCGCCTGTGCCAGCAATGGGATTCGGTCGAGCCTAATTCAATTTGGTTCGTCGATTCTGGTTCGATCGAACCATATTAACGTCTCTCCCCACCCACCCCACTAGATCTACGTCTCTTCCCTTCCCCGGCGCGCACGAGGCCGTGCCGCCCCTGGAAAACCTAATCACTGCGCGGCGTCTTCCTCTCCATCGGCGAACGACGGCTGTGTCTTCCTCGAGCGAGAGGCTTCCGTGCGATCTCCAGCCGGCTCTTCTTCCGTCTCTGTCTCTCTCTCCCCTTGACCGTCGTACTCTCCCGCTCGCCTTTGACTACACTGCATTTATGTGAATCAGTTATACCACAAATGTACAATTTTATTATCTTTCAGAGAAATATACCCCTTTGACCATGAAAGAAAGAAGGTTCTGACTGATTGTTTGCTCTGCTCGACAGAAGCTACTGCAAATGAGGGAACTTGTAACGATTCAAGTTGGTACTTTTGCGAATTACGTTGGATCTCATTTTTGGAATTTTCAGGTAACTTATTAAGTTTTTTATTTAGTTTATTTGATGATTTTGCCTTGTTTGCATGATTTCGTACTGTTTACTTGAAGGGAATTAGTTACTTGCATCCTGAAGTGGTCTTGTAGTATGACCATTGAAGTAGGATGGTTACAAAAACCAACTAGTCACTCGATTGCTGTGGTTGCTATGTAAATAATTTAAAATTCTACTTTTGTTATGTATTGATTATTATTATTTTTATTATGTTATATATTTAATCATTTGATGAATTAGAAAAATGGAAACAAAAGAAACACTGCTTTTTCTTTGTCACAGAGTGTTGCTTGCAAGTGCACTGCTAGGACCGACAAAATCGCATATCTTATGTCTTCTTATGTCTCTAAAGCCTTCAGAATGTGATTGTTCATGTATGTAAGCTAATTGCTAAGATTGTTTATTGACTTCATTCTCACGTTTGCAGGATGAGTTGCTTGGACTGACAGAGGTACCCGATGGAGATCCCATTTTCAAGAATTCACCCTTAGAGATGGATGTCCTTTATCGTGCTGGTGAAACACAACAGGTGGATTTGGCTGTAACACATTTATCACGGTAGAATAACTGCATTTGTCTAGAATAAGGATGTCAAATTCAATAGATTAGTTCAATTTCCACAAAGGTGAAGCGCACATGTTCTCTAGATAATCAAAAGGTATAACTGCAAATCGTCTATGACAAAATGTTGCTCTAGGCATCCCAAACCTTGAAACAAACATGAATAATAGGTTAACTAGTATGCTATGTATACATGTCTGTGATCACATTAATCCATGCTAGATATGGAGAAACTTTTACTTTTATATTTCTTTTTCCTGTCAATGTCATTTGGAGTCCTCGCCTTCATTCAAGGAAATTAACATATCACTTCTTCATCTTTTTCAAACAATGTCACGACATAGTACATATATGCTTTGAGAAGATCCCACGACTGTGTTTTTTCCCATTCTTGAAGTGAAGGTGGGGCAGTTCTTTCATTTTAATTCATTAAGATCATGATACATGGGTTTCATTTGATCTGAAGTCGCTTATAGGTGGAAAATGTTTACTGGCAGCCCATTAACCATCCTTTATTCGAAAACTGGAAGCTATGCTTACATGTAACTTATTTGCACTCTGCAGGGTATTCCTACATACTGCCCTCGATTGATATCCATCAATTTTCAAGGTGATTGTTCTTTCCATTGCTTGTTACTGCTAATATAACTAAATTTATTTGCACATGGTAAGTTATAAGGGTTTATGAAGCAATGATCCTCGATAACAGTAATAACCGATAAACATAGGTGACTAAAATGGCGTATGCCATTTTTATTAACAAAAAAAGATTTTTTTCTATCATTTACTTGATACGATGGCAGTGATTAAACTATTGAATGTTATCTGCTTTGATGCATTATTTAAATGATATGAAAGTCTCATTTGGCATAAGAAACAAATTGGGAAAATTTTGGATTGTTGGGGTAAGTAAAAGGGATCCTTATCTATGATTGAAAGATGATTCTTACACATACAAAAGATGGCTTGTTATATTTTGATTTCAAGATAAAGAGCAGCAAGGCCTTTTAATCTTAAGTTGACATGTTTTCAGGAGAGGCATTATTGTGTGTGGACATACACATATCTAGATCAGACATGTTTATATGTGTGTGTATATATATGTATGTATAGTCTGTAGATTTTTATGAATGTAACCATGTATTAACATATATATA